CCCCCAAAACCCCAAAACCCCAAAACCCCTTGAGATGTGTAATAAATTGAGGTTTAATATGATAATAGTTAACTTTTAATAAAAATGGGACAAAGCAACTGTTGTGCTAGCAATTCCAATTCTTTCATTGAAAATCGTAAGTATCTATTATTATTTAGAATCAAAAGAAGCTCCATCAGAGAAAGAGTGAAATGTAATAAATTTGGGAGATTGGTTATGATGAAAGTTTTAAAGTCCCAATATTTTAAGAAACTAATAGATTAATAAATTGAAATTTGAAATACACCAAAAGAAAGAGAAGTATGAGTCTGAGACTTTATTTAAGAGTTTTAATAGCTCTGAAAATATATTTCCTTATTTGATTATAGATACTCAAAGATTAAATGCAATTATCAAAAATTGAATTAATTTGGTTTTCTGTTCTAAAAATCCTCTACTGCCATTCTTAAAATCAAAAACTCTTATTTTGAACTCACAACAAAGATTCTTTCTTTAATCCTCTCTCTTTCAAAACAATTCCTCCTCTCTTTTCTTGATTAAAACTTAACTTCACCCTTCTCTGCAGCTAAACTAGCCTATCACCCATAAAGCTTCATTCAAAATCCCTGTAAAACCTCTATCTCCTGATCTCTCTTAAAATCCTTCTGTTAAAACAGGAATTCTTTCGATCGATCTATTCTGGCTTGAACCAGCTACGAAAACTCTTACTTCAGAATTTTCAAACACAGCAGAATATTCTAATGTGGCTTAATAGGAAGTGAGGACTCTTGAGAGTAAGAAAAGTAGAAGAGGAAGTATTTTAAGATCCCAAGCTTTGTGAAATCTAAAGAGTAAGATTATTGAACTGCCTTGGGTGATAGATGCTTATTGGGATAGGTGAAGATGAGCTTCCGAAGAAAGTTGGGCTTAAAAAGAACCAGACTGAACAACCGCGTACACAGCAATTCAAAAATTTCTCAGAATCTCTTTATAAAGAATATGCTTCTGTGAGGAAATAGCAAGAAGACTTCTGTCAAAGAGAAGCCTACGAAATATATCAAGAAGCAAGGGAAATGTCAAGCTCTAGTTTTAAGATATAGTAATGATCTTTATTCTAAACTTTTTATTTCTTTCGATGAAAAGATCAAACTCTAATTCTCCATACAGAACCAGACTCAATTCAAAGAATGCCTACACAGATGAACAAATATGTGATAAATACATAATTCTTAAAGGGAAGATTTTTAAGCCTTTCATGCTAAATTATGCTCATTAAATTTTTACAGTTTCAATGCTTTATTATTATTAGGGGTTTTGGGGTTTTGGGGTTTTGGGGTTTTGGGG